GGCCCTCATCTGTGGGTTGATCCGCCCATCCCGCGCCGCATGCTCGACAAGACACCCAGCTCCAGCACAGCCCGCAACCTTCGAACCCGCTCGTGCGCAAACCAAAACCTCAGCCTCCTTTGCTGCCACGGCGGTCAGTCAGAATAGGATAGAGCCGGCAAGCAAAGCCCTAAAGTGACATAGCATTCCCTCGAACTCCCATTGTTGCCCTGTCTCTTTGGGCCGACTCCTCCGTTGTAAGTCTCTGAAGCATCCCTTGAAAGGTCCACGACGCCGCATAGACTTCAGGTCCTTAAGCTGGGTGGGTTTCAGCATTAACAGCCAGAAACTGTCGGTAGGTGACACCTGCTCATGGCCTTACACCACACCACAGGCCTCTGCAGGTCCTTCCGGTCGCATCCGGCTTTGAACGTAAATATCTTGTTTGGGGAGCCAAGGGCTACTTCTTTGTGTAGGGGTATGACTGGCCCTGCCAGTAGCATTCCCACTCTTGCACGAACAACGCTTCGGAAGATCTTCTCTCAACTAGCGATTGCAGTCGCTTGCATGATCGGCGCTGTGAGTTCGAAGGCATTTGGCGAAATGTTGAAGCTGTCGAATCAACCTGAGGGCGAGAACCGGGGCTTTTTTCCGTGAGACAGTGGAAGCAAGAGAACTCACCCGTCAACTTGTTGATCGCTGGCCCGCAGACCCCGTCGAGCAATGCAGGCGACAACAAGACACCGCCAATGCCTTTGTGACCCCGGCTGCCCATGTCTCCTGAAGTGTGTCCCCATGCTGGGAGAAGTTGCCTGACCCTAAATAAAGCCTTGGAGTAGTTGACGCCATGGCCTCTTTCTCGCCCCGCCATCTCCTGTGCTGGTTGGTGTGGTTGCTTCGAGCCGCCCCCGCCCTGAGGCGCCATGAAGTTGGCTCCATGGTGCCGTGGCGTCCTCTCAACCGTCACCAACGGCAGGAATGGACAAGGTGCCTCAGCCAGGCCTGGACTAACACTGATGTTGTCGAGGGGGCTGTCGAGACCGCGCCTTGGCTGGGCCTGTGGCGGCCCAGCGAGGCTCGCCTCCGACATCGACGGCATAGGCAGCTTTTCCTCCGGCGTGCTCCGAAGCCCTTGCTGCGCGGAACTTGGCGCGGCTGGCCGAACCGGGGACGCCGCATCGGAGAAGCCTCCAACCCTGGGCCTGTGGCTCCTGGCACCCCGCTTGGCGGCGAGAGACCGCCTCGGCGACGCCAACGCGACGACCCTGATCGCATGGAGGTGGAGGGTGCTGCTGGGCCGAATGCGAGTGACAGACGGGTTTACTGCCCAGTGCCCACTTGCCCGTGCAGCGATCCCCGTCGCGCGCGGGGATGGGCCAGCGATGCCTCCATGAAGGCGCACATCGATGCGCACTTGGCTGGGTCTTTGCAGGGAGATGTGCCGG